ACCTCGTTGCAGTAGTGTGCCATCTCTTGTGAGAGTAGCTCGACCTTTCTGTACGGAGCCCTGTCCAAGGAGGCTTTAGGCATCGCTCCTCGTAGGAGACAGTTAGTTCTATAATGACCATTCCCTTCTCTTATTGTGACCAGTGTAGGATATCTGGGCATAAATTTGTTTGGGTGATCTCTGGGAAGACCAGTCTTTCTTCCACGTCAACTCGCAATAGTTCCAGTATCCTTCCATGATACGCTATTGTTACATTGGTGTTTGCCGCTCCAGACCTTACGAAGTTGATGTAAGGTCGTTATTTCGTACATCCTCGTTTTTCGTCATTTATGGAGTTTTAGGTCCTCTTGTTTCCAAGTCTGCTGCCGTGATGATCAAGATATGACAGATATGATGAATCCTGTCACGAAATCCTGATGTTGTTGCAATAAGTCTTCATAATTTTGTGTTCAGGAATGTGATCGTGTTCCAGTGCTATAAAGATAAATTCATCCCAAAAATCCTGGGTTCTTTTATTTCTGCAAGGAATAATTGATTTACTCATTTAACACAATGTACGTCGTCGTCCTTCTTACAAGTATTGCAAAGAAGATTTTTCCTTCTACACTCAAGAGTGATAAGGTCCTGAATTTGTTTAAAGATTGCAGAGTGCTCCTTCGGTACAAGTATTCCCTCTGTTGTCTGTCACCATTCTGGAATGTTAGCCCTTCCTCCAGCTCACCTTTGAAAGCCTCCAGGGGCGTCATAGAATTAAATTCAAATGCCGGTTAGTAGCGATATATCATCGCGTGTTGCCTGACCACGCCTACATGACCCTACCATATATTAGATTACGTAATGTGTACCTAAACCTCGGCCGAATCAGGACCTTGTGTCACCGAATTAAAACCTTCCAAAACAAAAGCACCGTGAGCTTCCATGTCTGCATTCTCATAATCTTGTTTAGGCGTATGGCTACGTAAGATTTCACTTTTATCAATTTCATCTATTCCAAAACGGTACATCCGACATATTCATGTGACTCGCTTGAGGCATGACCAAATCACAAACACGTAGTGTTGTTACTGTTGTGCGATACAGCCCGTACCAAAAAAACACTTTAGGAGGTTGTTTATTATAACACCTGTGTTTTTATTCCTTGAAAACAAAAGTAAAATTTTAAAATGTTTACTTCAATTGAGTCTTGGAACGTTATTTCATTGTTGCCCAGTGACGAATGAAGCCAGCCAGCAGCTTCTGCGTATATTTGCAAACATGTACAATAACTGCAACAATGCTACAAAATGACACTACATTGTAGATTCAACAGAAAGGGCGTCCGATAGGCAGGAGTCACAAAATGGTTAATGTAAATATAGGAATTGATTGTCTATTTTGTTGCTTGCATGGACTGATGAAGGAAAGTGAGCCTTGTGCAAATGATACTCAATTAAAAGAATGCTTTTGTGAGCACGTCGTTTTAAAATGATACAGTGCGCTTTCGGTTCAGTAGTTTTTCTTTTTGTGTAGTTTCGTTAGATGCCAGGAAAAAATTCTTGTATATTCTGTCAGACACCTCTCTAGATTACAGTGCACGTGGTCCTGTATCAAATGTTGCATTATTGTATTTCGTGACGAGGTCTTCCGGGGAAAGCACGGAACTGGAAAATCTCGCGAACAGCATCATCCATCAAACTTTATTTCCTCTATAAGAAAATATTATATTACATAAAAAAGGAAAAACCGACAGATTGAAAGGGACGCGATAATTAAGAATATACAAATGGAAAACTCAGTTCACACAAAGCAGATCGCGAAAATTACAAATGTTTTCTATTGCACTCGCGAAGAACCATGGTGCATGTAATTGCACTTCAGATATTCACCACGACTGTGGGAAGAGGGCTCGTGGCATTGACCACATAACGCGCTGCCTTCATTAAGAAAAGTTTCAAGGTTGAATCGTCATGGAACAGGGAATCCGTAATACCACCAAATAGGGTATGGACAAAGGTGCCATGGTCCTCCTGTCGACAAGACCTGTGCACACCAGGTCCAAACTCTGTGAGAACATCGCCGAGAAAGTCTGTACGGTGGACGCTGGTGTACTCACAGGTTGCGCACAGGTGAGAAATGGCATCATGATTGCAAGTTAGGAAGCAGAGGGAACACAATGAGTAGCCGGGATAGCTGGCAAGGCTAATACTGAACATAATCTGTCAATTATGCGAGTGTTTGGTGCAGTTTCTGCTGCCTGCCACATTATGTATGACATTTCTTGAAGATAGCGAAGTCGCGGTCATTCTCCATTCTAGTTCTTAGAGCTGATGTCTCAACGGACCTAATGGCAAACTTAACGATGGATTTCCATTGAGACTTTTATGGAAACGTATAATGCCGTAGGTAATTATCCAATTATTTTTGGAGCACTTCCAAAATACCACGGAAATATCCTTTTGAACACACTATACTGGCTCTTCCTGACTGAACTTCCAAAAACGCATATAGTCGTGCTATGACATTGTGACAATGAGTTACACTGCACGTCATACCATTCGGGAGTCTTCATAGAGACACATCATTGTCCGATATTTTTATTAATTTAAGATAGCATTAAACAATGACATGGCTGACGGAAGTTCAGAGGGGTCAAGCCATTGCGATGATTATGCAAGGTCAAAGGCAAATACAGGTTGCCAGACAATTCGGTGTCCATATTTGCACTATGAAACGTTTTCTTAGGGAAACTGGGCGGGTTGCTGACAGACCTAAGTCTGGGCGTCCACGCGTGACGTCACAACAGCAGGACGGGTATATTCGTCTCGCGCATTTGCACAATCGGCACCTTACTGCTGAATCTGCTCTTTATACAATAGGTAGCCGTCCTATCCATTCGAAAACTGTAAGGAAACGATTGCGGGAAGTTGGTCCCCCTGTTACTCTGGTCCAACTGAGAGTACCCCTCTTGGAATAATGGGTCAACCTCCCAATAAGAAAGAACTACATGCCTGAGAGATTCAGGGCTGTGGCGAGAGCGAATGGGGAACATATCCAGTATTGATTAGCCAGTTCCCAAAATCAGTCCATTTCGATTTCGGATTACAGAGTTCTCTTTCAATTACCATCAATTACTCCTAAATCACTTAAAAATATTGACCATTTTACTCGACGTCTTGCCTACAATCATCCTTGCGTTTCTTTACCCCTTGAGTATATAATTTTTCGTTTATTGATTCAACTTCTAATAATGATTTCTGAATCCTGTTGAGGATTGATGCACTTTTAATTTTGTGTTTTATTTTTGTAGTTCTTTCTTCTCCCACACCTCCTATTTCGTTACACCATTTGATCAAAAGAACATATTGTTTGTATAATCTACATGTATCCAAAATCTTTAAGATAGAAAACATGAACCAAGTACACTGATTAAAATAATCTACAGTTATTACAGCTGTGACTGAGCATTCTCTTTCAAATATAGGCTTCCCAATGTCTTTTTCGCAAAATTCGTACATGTATGTGTAAGTTTTCATATTAGTCCCTAGTATTGGATATCAAGTTTTGGGTTTCATCGAAACAAAATGTCTACAAACATATACATGTATATGTCACAGGGTAAATAGGAGCAAGTGTCTGTAAATGTCCCGTTTAATTTGTATTCGTTACCGTCCGTGCATTTACGTGTATGTCCTTATTTGGTGTGTTACCTGTTCGGTATTGTCAGTGTCTGTCCTTATATGGTGTTGTCTTGAGACGTGTACGTGTCCAGGTGTGACAGGTGAGGAAGTCGTGCGAGAGTGAGTATGTAGGGTAATAAAACTACGGATACCCCTGGTTGCTGGGCAGAACCACAGACTAGCCACGTCGCTCTGGACGTCCTCGGGAGTCCAGGCGCCACATATAGCTACTGATGTAAATGATGTGAGGTGGTTGCATTCCTAAACCAGGGGTACCAATAAAAACACACAACGAATTCGAGTTGATGGTGCGACATATATTTAATTTCAAAAGAACTTGTCAATAAAATTACTTAATGTAAATTATAGTCACATTTTCAAAATCTGATTTGGGGCATAGGTCCGATATTATTGGTTTGTGTGAGGTTTTGTGTGTGTGTGTGTGTGTGTAATGAATACCAGCATGATATTGTCCCCAGTTTGAATGCGATTTAAGTGCCGTACCTGCCTGTATAAGCATGTGCGATGATAAATTTTCAGTAAACTTTTCTTTAAAAGAATGATTTAATTGGTAATATTATACGTCCCTTTCGAAACAAACTAAATCAGAACTTAACCTGCATCATACGTACGTGATCTGAGGATAGAATCTGGTAGAGTTACGTACCTTTGTTTCACTTACATTAGAGATAAGCTTGACAGCCGGTGGGAGGGAGAATAAATTAATGTTATTTGTTCACATTGTTCCTGTTTCCGCCTGGATCATAAAGAATGCACAAATCGTTAGTTTAATGAGAAATATTAAGGCAAAACTTCCCTTTTCTTCATGTTCCTACTACACCGTTACTGTGAAAACCAGGGGCGTAGCTCCCATAGAAAGAAAAAGCCCGGGCTTACACATACAATGTAAAAATCCGTGCATAGAGTATGTCAGACAAAATTACAAAACTAAAGTTGAAAAGAAATATCAGGGGTTGAAGTTTGTTGTTAACTAAGTAAAAAGACTGTCTCAGAAAACGATTCAAAACATCTTTGAAATCATGAAATTCAGACCCCTCGCCGGGGCTTACACATTTCTGCTAGGCTTGCTATGCCCCTGAAAACGGACTGACAGACGTCTGTAAGGCCGTGATGTAAATAAACATATTTTCAAGACATGTTCGTACATCTATGAATAAGTTGTAAACTTTCATTTTCTCTATATTTATTTATCATTCCGGTTAAACATAATACATAAGGCTCTGTTGATTTATACCGTTTTAATGGATACTCGACTTCGTCGCCAGGTGGCGCTATATAATATACAACCTTCGGGTCAAAATTTGCATATCGTAGGCACAGGTCACGGAAGCGTTTGAAAGGTAAAGATGGCTACGCAACCTCATAGCAAAAAAAGAGTATGCTACTATTATGACGGTAAGTACATTTTATACTGACAATTTACTTCTTTTATTTAAGACACAGTTTATGTTTTTCAAATGACTGCAGACGCGTTTTGCGATTTTTGAACTGAAAGCGAACTCGGTAGAGCCGGTGCCCCTTTGTGTGCCCGCGATGGATCGAAACATCGTGTTTTACAACTCAAGTCATAAAATCACATAAGATAACGAAAAAAGCTACGACTTTCTATAATATATCGACCTAATTACATAAAAATCACTACCATACCTTCAGTGACACGAATATATAAAGAATGATGTTCAAAAATGAATATATTTCATTTCTCAAACGTTTGAAGCTAAGCGCGAGTATGTAGAAAGTACGGCAGCCCAATTTCGGGGTTTGTTTGCGTACCTATTTGCAATTTCGTAAATGTCGATTGAACGATCAATTTACGACCTTTTGAATGTTTTAACTGATGTTAATGTTACTGTCAACAGTTTTGTATGTGTAAAAATTATTAGCATTCGTGTTAATTACGTTAAATGGGGAAATTGCCCTGTTACGTTAAATATATTTGTATGGAAGCCCAGAAAAAATGGGGGTGATAATTTTCTTCTTTTTGTGCATTTTAAATCTTGATATAAATCTTTTAGTCAATGATGTTTTATTCACTTCTCATTCGCTGAAATTCTATAGATTTCAGAATGTTTTACAAGAAATGAAATGTTCTTTAAGAAAATTGCTCAGCTGGTACACTTTCTTTCTAAGTAGCAGAGTAAAATATTAATGTATTCACTAGCATTAACATTGTTTGTCAATCCATCCGAAGTATCTTCATATTGGTAAATAAACAGACAAGCAATGCTGGTATAGGCCTTTGATTAAATGTTATTTGATCAATCTGTAACATTATATTAGTAAATAGGTCTGCAAGACACACTAGGCCTTTGCACATGTATACTTAGTTTGATTTGTCAGCCAGTTCTTCTTGAAAATCAGAGTAGAGAGTAACCAATGCAGTAATTACAAGGATGCATCACATAAAAATCTTTAGTGATTTGATTCACAAATCAATGTTGTTGTTTTTTTTTTTTATCTTAAATGTTAAAAACAACAAGAAACTTTGAGCCTGTGAATATAATCATAATCCAAACTCAAAGAGAGCAAAATATGAACGAAAGAAAGATTTACGCTGAGACTACTGAAAAAAACATGACTTTAAGACCCCCCAAGTGTTCTGGAAGAATTAGTATCTTCTGTCTCATCAACGAAACCCACCATATAAATCTTGGTCAACCAAGTAAGTAATGTCACATTTTCAAATTAGTTATGAGTTTGTCATTTGATGGCATTCTCATAAAAATTGTTATTTTTGAACAGGCCTTTGAATATTGAATCAACTGCTATATATGTGAATAACATAGGATGGGGATATTGGAATGTTTCCAACAAGAAATGGAAAATTCTCAATTGGAAAATCGAAAATTTTCACACTTACCATGTAGTTTGATGGCAAGCTGTCCATGTTTGTTTCATTGTAGAATAAGGTTAAGATATTCAATTTCCAGATTCTGTTGGGCATTCATGATGGATGTGGTCTTGTATCTCTTGTTATTTAAAGACAACATCAATATATCTCAAAGTAAAATTGAAGTGCCTGTAGTGATAAACTCTTCCGTAAGGTAAGTTGTATGAAACAAAAATAAGTTAGCAGACTGGGGCAGATTTTGTTCCTGTCAGTCCCGTAACTTTACAAGATGTTATCAACTAGAAAGTTGATGATTTTCATGTTTTCGTTCTCAGTATATTTCTCCTGTGATTTGGACATTTTTTTCACCAAAATTGCTTCAGTATTGATCACAGCTATATATATTTGTACGATCACTTGGCTTTCATGAAAAAGGATACTTCCATAACAATGACGTTCGTTCAGTTTAGAATGGGGTATGGTGGAAAACAGAGTGGAAATAATCTGATGTTCTTACAGAAGAAATGTGTTTTAGAAGCGGTCATCTACAATACTATTAAATATTTATTCCATTTCTTGAGTAAACAGTATCACAGTAAGACTGGTATATTAGTAGTAAGATTTCAGGTAGTGATTAAGAAATTTAGACAAAGGTTTGGTTGAACCCATAGACAAGCCATCAATAATCAAATAAAACTGTATATGGATTAGGGGGGATCTGTATCCTTATCAATTATAGGCAAATTAAATCATTGTAACACAGAAGATTGATCAGTAAATATTTATCTTTGGGAAGATTGCATTTTGCATAGGCAGGGTATCCTTTGTTATACACAACAAGTCTACATTTCTTTTAGGATGCATCAAATATGATGATATCTTTAGAAAAGAATGAAGTTATTGCACCTTAACCGAGACATGGAAACAAGTATACCTTTCATGTAAATCTTGAATTGTTGATAATGAAATATTTTAATTTTCAATATAAAAGATGTGATTTTGAAAGCAAATTTATCACCATGATATGGTGGAAAATATGTCTCTGATGTCAGTATTTAGTATTTTTTGTTTTTCAAAAATGTCTACCCAAAACAGACCACTATTTTCTGTATAATCTGTAAGTGATTAAGAGTTACAGTGTAAACCACAAAGTGCTATTGTAATGGTTTAAGGTTACAGTGTTAACCACGATGTGATCATGTAATGGTTTAGGGTTTCAGTGTAAATCACGAAGTGATGGTGTAATGGTTTAGGGTTACAGTGTAAATCAGGAAGTGATGGTGTAATGGTTTAGGGTTACAGTGTAAATCACGAAGTGATGGTGTAATGGTTTAGGGTTACAGTGTAAATCATGAAGTGATGGTGTAATGGTTTAGGGTTACAGTGTAAACCACAAAGTGATGGTGTAATGGTTTAGGGTTACAGTGTAAATCAGGAAGTGATGGTGTAATGGTTTAGGGTTACAGTGTAAATCAGGAAGTGATGGTGTAATGGTTTAGGGTTACAGTGTAAATCAGGAAGTGAGGGTATAATGGTTTAGGGTTACAGTGTAAATCAGGAAGTGATGGTGTAATGGTTTAGGGTTACAGTGTAAACCACAAAGTGATGGTGTAATGGTTTAGGGTTACAGTGTAAACCACAAAGTGATGGTATAATGGTTTAGGGTTACAGTGTAAATCAGGAAGTGATGGTATAATGGTTTAGGGTTACAGTGTAAATCAGGAAGTGATGGTGTAATGGTTTAGGGTTACAGTGTAAATCATGAAGTGATGGTGTAATGGTTTAGGGTTACAGTGTAAACCACGAAGTGATGGCGTAATGGTTTAGGGTTACAGTGTAAATCAGGAAGTGATGGTGTAATGGTTTAGGGTTACAGTGTAAACCACGAAGTGATGGCGTAATGGTTTAGGGTTACAGTGTAAATCAGGAAGTGATGGTGTGCTCTTTTTAACAGGTGACATTGGGAATTACTACTATGGCCAAGGACATCCCATGAAACCTCACAGGATACGTATGACCCACAACCTCATCCTCAATTATGGACTCTACAGGAAAATGGAAATTTATGTAAGTTATGTAATTAAGTCATGTTGTTATAGTGGATAAGATTTACTCAAGGTCTAATACTTTAAAAAACATGTTTAATATTCTTATTCAGGCAACCATTCTAAAGGTACTTGATCTTGTCAGAGTTTCGTGTGATAAATACTGGTGAAAGTTGTGATAGAACTATCAGGAGCGCACCAATAATATATTAGTCACAAGATTGCCTTGTTAGTGTTATTCAGCGAATACTTATTTCATATTTATCTTCAGGTTTTAATCATGGTGTCACACACTCATAAGTTATGTTATTATTAGATGAGAGGACTTCAGACTTGATGTGGAAGTGTCTGCTTTCTACAATATTTGACTGAATAAATGTTTATAAAATAAAAAAAGATATTAGATTCTTATCATTTGATACATAATGTATAAAGCTCATTCCAAATTTTTCAATTTTGCTTGCCAAAGTGTCACTGAAATAGATAAAAAAAATGTACTTGTCATAAATCACATATTAAAGGAAGCTTGTACTACAACTTTATATATATCAAGATTTTTTATGTTGACATCTGAAACGTTATGTTTGACACCTTAGAAATGATATTGACATGATATTGACACCTTAGAAATTATATATAATGACACCTTAGAAATGACATTGACGCCTTAGAAATGATATATATTGACACCTTAGAAATGATATATATTGACACCTTAGAAATGATATATATTGACACCTTAGAAATGACATTGACACCTTAGAAATGATATATATTGACACCTTAGAAATGATATATATTGACACCTTAGAAATGATATATATTGACACCTTAGAAATGATATATATTGACACCTTAGAAATGACATTGACACCTTAGAAATGATATATATTGACACCTTAGAAATGATATATATTGACACCTTAGAAATTATATATCGACACCTTAGAAATGATATATATTGACACCTTAGAAATGATATATATTGACACCTTAGAAATGATATTGACACCTTAGAAATGATATATATTGACATCTAGAAATGACATTGACACCTTAGAAATGATATTGACACCTTAGAAATGATATTGACACCTTAGAAGTGATATTGACATCTAAGATTTTTTTGATGTATTGAAAACCTTTAAAATTGTTAGTATTCTATTTTCTAAGCAATGTTCCTAAGTTATAAGTAGGTAGGAGGTAATTGTGTTGAACTGAATTGTTTGACCAATAGAGACCCCACAAAGCCACACAAGAAGAGATGACCAAGTTCCATAGTGATGACTACATCAAGTTTCTGAGGAGTATCCGACCAGATAACATGTCGGAGTACAACAAACAGATGCAACGCTGTAAGTTTCTTCAACTGCATCACCACAATTTCTGTTCCTCAGAACAGGATTGATAGTATTTATCATGGAAACATACACTTAGAAACTACGTGATTGAAGTAGACAATTTTCTCAAGATAAACTTGTTTCAAGATGATATTCTAGATAGATTATGACATTTTCCGGTATTTGTTGAGCTTATGTCAGCTTCAGAGCCTGTTAATGAGCTTATATCATACTTCAGAGCCTGTTAATGAGCTTATATCATACTTCAGAGCCTGTTAATGAGCTTATGTCAGCTTCAGAGCCTGTTAATGAGCTTATATCATACTTCAGAGCCTGTTAATGAGCTTATATCATACTTCAGAGCCTGTTAATGAGCTTATGTCAGCTTCAGAGCCTGTTAATGAGCTTATATCAGACTTCAGAGCCTGTTAATGAGCTTATATCAGACTTCAGAGCCTGTTAATGAGCTTATGTCAGACTTTTGTGCTTAATGTGATATTCTGTCTATCAATGGATTCTTCAAATGATAAAAGAAGTTGGACTGGAAACATCACCTTTAGGCTAGGATTGGTAATTTTGATACAAATTATACCAGAATGATTATGACTTTTTAGCCCACTATCATCAGATGATGGGCTATTTCTTTCTCAAATTTCATATGCAGTTTCCCCTTGGTCCCTAGTTGTGCATTGTACCTTTTTTGGACTGATCCGAATTCAAGATGGCCACTTGTCGGCCTTCTTTTATTTTAAAAAGAAAAATTTGTTACCGCTATTTCTGAGAAAGTACTGGATGCATCTTTGTCAGATTTCATAGGGAGCTTCCCCTTAGTCCCTAGTTGTGCAGTGTACCTTTTTTGGACTGATTTGAAATCAAGATAGCTGACAGGCAGCCATCTTGGATTTTGAGAGTCAAATCTTGTTACCGCTATTTCTGATGAAGTACTGGATGGATCCTTCTGATATTTCACAGGTATTGGTTTCCCTTGGTCCCAAGTTGTGCATTTTACCTTTTCTGGACTGATTTGAAATCAAGGTGGCCCACAGGCAGCCTTCTTGAATGTCGACAGTAATACAGCACAAGCATGTTTTCTTCGATATTCTATCATATTGATTGAAGACCATGTCCATTATCCACCTGTAACTGACTGCTATCTAATAATACTTTGGGATCTTTTTCAAATGATATTTGCTAATTGGTTCTTAATAAAAATATTGTGTGCCATCATTGGGTACATTCAGTGAAGACCAGTTCATGAACATTTACAAGACCTGTAACACAAAAAAAAAAAAAAAAATAAACAAATCTTCAAGAACTGAAAACAGATCCTCAAATGGTGGGCGCCAAGATCACTCTGGGATCTCTTGTTTTATTGTGTTAGTGATATATTATAAATAGGTAAAGTGTAAAGCTGTACCACTCCAGCAGTAGTTTCATGTTTCGTAATAACAATTCTTGTCCAAAGTTTAGTTTAGAAAACAGAGAAATTTGGTGAACAAAATTTACAATTGTTTTCGTTATACCTTACTTTAAATTGTGTTTTCTTCAGTCAATGTCGGTGAGGATTGTCCTGTGTTTGATGGCATGTATGAGTTTTGTCAGCTATCTACTGGAGGGTCTGTAGGTAAGTGATGTGCAATGATCCTTAAGTCTTATTAAAATCTTATCTTGAAATGTGAAGACTTTAACCAGGAAAAGATTGATATCACAAGGTCTAATTATAAAAATGACTTCAGATTGGACTTAGAAATGCCATACTATAGTAAGCTAGGCTGCTGTTCTCAGCTAAACACTAGGCTACTGTAGACTGGAAACCTTTAGGTACAGGGTAAATAAAGAGTTACATTAGAATATATGTTTTTTGTATTGCAGGATAAATTAAATACAGACTGAAAACAAGCAGTTTTGTGTAAGGGAGAAAAAATCAAAACCTCCTTGAAAGTTTACCTGTATACACTGTCATAATACAGTGAAAAATATTGTCAGCTCTCTGACCTGTCAAATCAAGGTCAGAGAAAGAAAATGGATATTGTAAACAGGGTTTAAAAAATCCACTCGTCCGCTCATCTAGATGAGTTAAAGGTACTTGCGGACAAGTTATTTGTTTCAGCTACTTGTTTGAGCGGGCGAGTGAAATTTGTAGTTCTGACTATTGAATATTCCATAATAAATGACGTTTATCAACTTAAACACTCTTAAAACTAATTTAAATCCACTGATAGTCGATCAAATACATTGATGTCGTATCCTTGTTTACACCACGTGTCAAGAATCGGGCTGATCCAGACTTCGCGAAAACCTATTACGTCACCACAAATGTTGTAAACAAGGTTGTTTTGTGTACGTAGTTACTGTCAAAAAGTTGATGTTCTCGCTCGCGTTAACAGTGAATTAAATATGAGTGAGTGAATATTGGATTTGAGCAAGTGAATTTCAAGCTTCACTTGCCCGACAGACGAGTAACTGAAAATGTTTTTTTCTAGCCCTGTGTAAAGTCATATAGCTGGGCTAAAATTTAGTGGTTTTACAAAAAAAATGTATTTTCATTGGCACTTTCTTCTTTGTGTATTTTCAGCTCTCAAATTCCTGTAAAGTGATTTTTCGTTTCATTTTGTGGCCATATGTAAATTCATGGATTTAGAGGGACCCTGAATTAAATGAAAATAAAAAAAAAAAACAAAGGTCAAACTTAATGATTTGACAGAAGTTTATGTATCATCATACCTCAATGGTGGGCAGAATGCTCAAGGTTATAAGGATCATTGTTGAGACATTGTACTCTTTCTAGCCGGGGCAGTCAAACTGAACAAGCAGGCATCTGACATTGCTATTAATTGGGCTGGAGGTCTTCATCATGCAAAGAAGTCAGAAGCTTCCGGATTCTGTTACGTCAATGATATCGTCCTGGCTATCCTAGAACTTCTCAAGTAAGTTTACATACTAGATAATAATACATTTACGGTGTAGAACATAAGATGTTGGTGATCAAATGTTTAATACTTTATTATATTTGATTTTAATCACTGACTATCTCTCTGGGGCTTCAAAATTTAGGCCCTTAGCATCACTGACAAGTCCTACAAGGATGGAACAGCTGTATGATGCAGTTTAATTCATTGTTTTAGCTCTACTGTATCTAAATCTGAATTATTAAAAGGTGCTATTCACTTGTGTGTATTTTGTACAATCCTGGATATCTGTGATAAAGTAAATTTGTTGTATTTATATTCTTATTTTGTTTTTTATACATCACAAACATTTCATGTCACTTAGAATTAATCTTCAGATAACAGTTGACTAAGTTCTCTTGTTGGTGTAGTTATGTATCGGTCCTATAAAAGTTGGATCATTTATGTGAGAATTTTCTAACCTTAAAAATCACACTCCAGAAGTTTTACTTAATGTAACAGTCTTGATATCTTTATCCTTCTTAAAAACTGACTTGATTCTCTTTCCAGATACCATCAGAGAGTGTTATATGTGGATATTGACATTCATCATGGTGATGGTGTAGAGGAAGCCTTCTATACGACAGACCGTGTCATGACTGTCTCATTTCACAAGTACGGGGAATACTTTCCAGGCACTGGTGATCTCAGGGTAGGTCACATTGATGTCCATGGTAGTAATTCCCCATACATACTTATAAACCTTACCCCTATTTAATGTAACCCACAAAGAGGCTACACCTATCTGGAAATTCTACAGGAGTTTATTATTCCTTCACATACATAATTAATCTTCAAAACATTTCATTTAAAATTATAATTTGTTGCAGGATATCGGTGCTGGCAAGGGGAAATACTATGCAGTGAACTTCCCTCTACGAGATGGCATAGATGATGAATCCTACGAGTCGATATTCAAACCAGTAAGTTATAACAGTGTGTAAACAGATGACTGGAGTGAAACACTGGATAATGCTTTATTACAATAGTATCAATTCACATGTATCTACGACTCCATCGACGAACATCCTATCTGTCTACACAAATTTTCAACCTCACAAGTTTGAACCATTTATATATTTAAAACTAGATGATGAACTATTGGATTTATATGAAATTGAATAAAAATGCGAAGAAACAGTGTGGATAAAACAGCTGTCAAAATGACGTATTACGCCAATGGTTAAGTAAAATGTGACAGACGATCAGGGTAAACCTGATACATGTTGTGTGACCCAAGCATTAAGAGACCTTCATCAAATGCTGATAATTGAGGTATGGTTGTTACAAACAGGTGATGACCAAAGTGATGGAGATGTACCAGCCCAGTGCTGTGGTGTTACAATGTGGAGCTGACTCTTTGTCTGGTGATAGGCTTGGCTGCTTCAACCTCACCCTAAAAGGTAGGAGATTATGGCCGGCTCTGTGCAACCCCAACTACAGAAAGATAAACTCATAAAAAGTTGAAAACACACCTGTATTTGATTATGTACTTAAGGAGTTTTGTGAAATGTTGTTTGATCCCTCAATTGTACTTTGAATTAATCATTTATCAAGTTACATACACAAACTATTGATGTAGACATATTCAGTGCCATGTCCCTGTAACAAAGAATTAACTTAGAGTTGTCTTCCTAATAACAGGTCATGGGAAATGTGCTGAGTTCATGAAGAAATGGAACTTGCCTCTGTTATTGTTGGGAGGTGGTGGTTACACTATTCGAAATGTAGCCCGCTGTTGGACCTACGAAACATCTATAGCTCTAGGAGTAGAGATAGCCAATGGTAAGTTTCACCTGTTGGACCTACGAAACATCTATAGCTCTAGGGGTAGAGATAGCCAATGGTAAGTTTCACCTGTTGGACCTACGAAACATCTATAGCTCTAGGGGTAGAGATAGCCAATGATAAGTTTCACCTGTTGGACCTACAAAACATCTATAGCTCTAGGGGTAGAGATAGCAAATGATAAGTTTCACCTGTTGGACCTACAAAACATCTATAGCTCTAGGGGTAGAGATAGCCAATGGTAAGTTTCACCTGTTGTACCTACGAAACATCTATAGCTCTAGGGGTAGAGATAGCCAATGGTAAGTTATACCATAAGAAATGTAGCCCACTATTACACCTACAAAACCTCTAAAGCTCTCAAGTTAGACATACAAATGGAAACAATCAAAAGATACACTATAGAGATAGAGATAGTGGTTCCTTAGCAATTGTTCAATGTGGCAGAACTTGCCCAACAGTGTCCAATATTTTAACCTTAGTTCTGTTAGTAAAGAATTTCATAGCTCCACATGATTTTAAAGTGTATATATAAAGTTAATATTTGTAATACTTGTAATGAAGAAGATAAAAATTATCAATTTACCTAAATTTATTAAATGTTTCATTTTTTGTGTCGCCTGCAGAGCTGGCGGACACTTAGGGATCACTTTGTCCGCCGTCACACAGCGGCGGCGTCCTTACGAAAGTTTTCTGGGCTTTTTTCAGTCATGCTTTGAGTTAACGAAATGAAATTTAGTAAATGGCTTCTTGTTGGAAGAGTGTCTGTGACCCTTCTTGGCAGATTATAGATTAGATAGCCTGGTACTTTTCCACGTCTGTGACCTTTAGCTCTAGGAAGGGATGCCAATTAAGTTCTTGGCAGGGAAGAGTAATGCCCCTTTGAACTCAAAATCTTTGGGAATATTGTTTTCTGGAATTTTCTTTGTTATGCTTCGTGTTATCAAAATGCAATTATGTATATGAGTTCTCGGTCAAAAGTTACACACTGATTTCACTACTTGGCAGTCTGTAACCCTTCTTGGCATTGATATGTCCCTTTGAACTTGGAAAATTTCTCAGGAATATTGCTTTGTGCAGTTTTAACTTTATGCTTTGAGTTTTAGAAATGAAGTTTGGTATTACAAGTTTATGGTTGAACGTTGCACATCCAGTTCGATTTCTGGGTGACCATGACACTTCATGCAGGCGACACATACAGTTTTGAGAAACTCTTGTCTTGTGTTAATAATGATTCATTGTATAAAGTTTAAAGTGGTCTTGTTGAATTCTTTTTCAGAATTACCGTACAATGATTACTTTGAGTATTATGGACCCGACTTCAAACTCCACATCAGCCCATCTAACATGGCCAATCAAAATACAGGAGAATATATGGACAAAATCAAGTAAGTTAAACAGGAAATTCTGTGTATTAAAAGGGAGATAATCTTGTAGGAAAGTTGTGACAATGGATTTTTATATTATAAGTAACAATGATATTATAATTTCTATTGAATTCTGTGCCTTTTTATGATAGATAATTCTTTTTGTAATGGCCAGTCATCAACTAATGATAAAAAATGCAATTGATATTTTCCTTTATATTTCAGAACAAGGTTATTTGAAAACTTGAGGATGTTGCCTCATGCTCCTGGAGTCCAAATGTCAGGTATGTAAAAATGTCTGCTGTCTTTGTTGACCAAAATTAGACGAGGCTTTTCATTTCTATTTTCATTCTGGAATTTTTCAACAAGGAAATTTGCATTCAAAGTTACATGTCATGTTATCACTATTATTATTGGGTAAACTTCTATGAAATAGCTGTAAGTACAGATCATGTGTCCACACACAGTTGTATTAATCTTGTATCCACACACACACACACAGTGGTATTAATCTTGTATCCACACACTCTACACACACACACAGTGGTATTAATCTTGTATCTACACACACACACAGTGGTATTAATCTTGTATCTCGCCTTTCACCTAGCCGACCGGGGTTTGATTCCCGGAACGGACGTGAAAAGGTAAGGGGTCACTTACCCGACCACGTGGGTTTTCCCTGGGTACTCCGGTTTCCTCCCACAATAAGACTCCTCGCGCGCTTACATCCGGGCCAACAAGAGTGATTAGTATAAGTTGACATAACTTGTTTCACAATTGTTGTAAAATAAATAAAGTTTATATTTATATTTATTTAATCTTGTATCCACACACACAGTGGTATTAATCTTGTATCCACACACACACAGTGGTATTAATCTTGTATCCACACAGTGGTATTAATCTTGTATCCACACACACACAGTGGTATTAATCTTGTATCCACACACACACAGTGGTATTAATCTTGTATCCACACAGTGGTATTAATCTTGTATCCACACACACACAGTGGTATTAATCTTGTATCCACACAGTGGTATTAATCACAGATGTTGATTGATCTCATCATTAGCTATTCCTGAAGATGCTCTGAATGATGAAAGTGATGATGAAGACAAAGAAAATCCAGATACCCGTGTCTCCATCAGAGCCAATGATAAAAGGATTGCTTGTGATGAGGAATTTTCTGACAGTGAAGATGAAGGAGAAGGAAAGCGTGACCGACAGAACTACAAACCGAAGATCAAACGGCCTCGTACTGATGATGAAAAGAAGGAAGGAGAGAAAGGTAATGTGACTAGATTAGTGTCTTTGAGCTGTCCATCAAATCCAAAGTGTTTGCTATACTAAACAAGTGTCGTCTCTTCAGATATTATTTTATTTGTGTAATATCTATACAAAAATGAAAACATTGCACAAGTATGTGGAATTTATTGGAAATCAGTTAAATCTACATTTGATTTTTAACAACTAAGCTAACTTTTTATATTAGGAAGATATATGTTAAGGTTTTGAAGTGTTCCATGTATTTGATGATCAGTTGTAGCATTATCCTGGAAAAATTTGTCGAAGTTTCTGAGGTTTGGAGTCTGATAACAGTTTTTAGTCAGTAATCTGTCAGTGGTTGTTTTAGAAATGGTGACAGATATTTTGAAAGTATTCTCAGCTTAGTTGTATTAATGTGCAATATTTAGAGTGAAGGACGGGTGTTATGTCCTTATGTAGATGACATTCCAATAATGAATATTTCAATTTGTTATTCAGATGCCAAAGAGCCTAAAAAGGATTCTCCTGCTGAGAACAAAGAAGAGCCTGCTAAAGCAGTGACTGAAAAGAAGTGAGTTTACATATTAACCATTGGTGGCTTTCTTAGTATCTATCAATAACATCAAATCAAATCCGTAATGTGGACTGATATCAACAATCAAATCAATGTTCCTTTATGTTATCTTTATACTGTAAATATCTGTAGTTGTTACACTATATACAAATATTCCATTGGTGTTGAAAGTAAAATCATTCTATTTTGTTTTTCCAGTGAGGAAAAGACGGAGGCATCTGAAAAGAAAGGTATGAATTGATTCAGTAGAATGTTTAGGATGTAACAGAACAAGATTCTGAGGACATTGTTTCTTGGTGGTATAGGGAAATTGGGAAAATAAATATAAAAAGTACAGGCATAAAAGGAAAAAATATCAGAAAATTCAAAAGTTGATATGTTACACTGCACAGTGAAGTACTTGTCTAATATTTCAATGAAGTTTTTTTTAACTTTTTCATTAGTTATCAACATGTTGCCACAATATTATATCATTAGTTATCAACATGATGCCACAATTTTGTATCACTAGTTATCAACATAATGCCACAATTGTGTATCACTAGTTATCAACATGATGCCACAATATTGTATCACTAGTTATCAACATGATGCCACAATATTGTATCCCGTTGTAATATGATAGGATCTCTTTATTAAATAAGACAATATCGATTTGCTGTTGCGTAATCACTACTTTAGAAATAGTTACGGACAATAAACTTTTTGTTTGGTAGAGTCTGCGACACCTCCAAGTAAACCTGAACAGCCAGCGGAGACAAAAGAAGATACAACAGCTGCTTCTAAGATGGAGCATTGACCAGTCACGAACTAGCTCCAACATGTTACACACTATACCAGCCTGAGACATGTGTTCCACAACTGGTGGTCAAGTCACCAGGAAACCAAAGTGTTCTCGACCATGACACGATGATGAAGATCCACAGATACTGTTGTGTTATTTGAGATTCAGCTAAATGATGTTAACTTCAGATAACTTGATGTGGTATGCTCTGCATATTAAACTTATCCTAATACAACCCTCTAGGATTTGGACCGAGTAGTGACCTATAATATTTGGGCGAGTGTATGAGGATATGTTAGCGAGTGTACTGATAGCTGAAGATTTTGTCAGTTATTTGATGTTTGGTATCAGTGTCAGGAATATTTAAATTCCTCACATTCCATGGACATTGTTAGCTGTTTCTACTGCAGATATTCATTACTTGTCAGCTTTACAGCAAATGTTTCATTACCACTGATAAAATGCAAGATTATTTTTCTGTGAAAAGAATGTATTCATTGATGTTACGGACAAAATTCATTAATCATTTTTCATGCACATTACATGCTTTACTGCCAGTGCTTTATCTGTACAGATCGCTTGTGTTATAGTCTGTCAGAAGGAATCATCTTTGTCCTCAGATCTGTTTAACCATGAAATAAATAGTGATTGACTGACTGACTTTAGATTTATCACTATAATACCAGTAATGGCCATTTGGAGGTTGAATCTTCTGTCATGTATATAAGTTATTTATTGATGTTTTTAGAACGTAGAGAAGGTTGCAAGGACAAAAGCAATTCATATAACTACATCATGCTCATCATTACTGTTTTGTCAAATAATGATACAAATTTTTAATTCTGACTTTCTGAAACCCAAGTCAGTAAATGAGATTAATCAGCAAGTTGAACTATGAGTAAGACATACAAGATGTGTCTAGTATTTTGATATGAATTATTCCTGTTGATTTCAGGACAGGAAAATCTTTGATGGTAGAAATGATTAGTCACAATAATGACATGGTTGTGTTTCTCCACCATTAAAATTGTTCTTAAACTTATCATGTTTCATTTTATTTGAATTAAAAACCCCATTTTGTTAGCCAACTTTATCAGATGATAGGCTGTTCAAATCACTCATCATCTCTGGTCAGTCTTCTGTGGTTCTTCTGTTATTAGACAATTCTGGTTTTCAGAAGAACAAATGTTCTTATAACACAATCAGTAGATGATTTGAGGGTGACATCTTAATGACTATACAGTCACCTTCATCTGACAAACAATCAGTGTGAAGCTGACATACATGATGTAGGAAATAGTAAGGAATCATCCTCCAGTAATCAGCTTGTTCATCTGTCTGTCCATTTTTGTTTTCTGTATAATAACTTTTGTATTTGTTGTCGAATTTGTTATGTAATTCTATATTAAGATACCCCACACTGGTTTGATAACCAGAGAAATCTATTAGTATTTTAAAAGTAATTGGACATTGAATTGCAAAAATTGTCCATTTCATTACTTTCTCCAATATAACTTTCATATCTGTAGTCATATGTTCCCCATACCTGGTATGTGAGTTCATATCATTCACCTCAAATGAGTTTGATAACCAGAAGGGTCATTGAATGCAGAAACATTTTGTTACTTTCTGCACACTACTCAGTTGGATTTTCACCTTGTTGGTTAATGTACACAAGACATAGCATGATTTGATAACCATTGGAATCTTCATATCTACAAGAGTGTTGGGACTTTAAAGGCTGGTACAAAAGATCATCATGATATCCCTCACAAGTATTGTTGATTTTGATGCAAATCGTAAAATCCAATATGACTACCATGACTTCAGATGGACAGAGACATTTTTTGACTTCTCAAGAATGGTGTGTGCCTGTGACATCTTACTTGGTACAAACAATCATCATGAGGTCCTGCATAAGTGCTGTTGTTTTTCATGCAAATCAGAAAATTCAAAATGGCCAACATGTATTGATTGTCTTGAGACATTTTTTTTCAAGACTGGATGGTGTACTAGATTCCTAACTTGGTACAAATCTTTCCTTATTAGGTCAGGATCATTCAGTGCTACTTTTCATGCAGCACTGGAGTAGAAAATCTATGCCATACCTTATATGGGAAGCCTTTCCACAACATTGGTCTACTTAGTAGTTATGGTTTTCACTATTTCTAAAGAAGCACTAGATGGACGACATCATCTTTAAAGATGACTTTCTTCAGAATAACTGGTAGGATCTTTGTCACTTTTAGAGAAAAGAAGGGTACAGATCCTATGAAAAAATGGAACAAATCAGAGAAGCAAAGATAATACACAAGTGTGCATCATGATCACTGGGATTTCATGTAATACAATACCTTTCTCTCTACCCATACACTCCTCCTCTAACACCAACTATTACATTAAAACTCTAATAGCAAAAACCAAATGAGGTAATTCTAATTATATTTGGTTGGGAGAGACCTTTGAAAATTCTTATGGCCAGTGAACATAATATTTTAAAAGAACCTGTGCCCGTATTCACGAAACCGTTCTCATGCTCAAACTCAAGGTTTTGTACTCAAACTCAAGGTTTTGTACTCAAACTCGAGGTTTTGTGCTTAAAATTCAGGTTTTGTGCTCACCTATTTTATCCTCATGCTCAAGTCGTATTCACGAAAAATTCTCAACTCTTGAGCACGTTCTCAAGTTTGCTTGAGCATGGTCCTCAGGATATCATTCTCATCATGGCGGCAGCACGTTTTGTGCAGAGAGCAATACGCGAAAGAATGATTCCAAGGCCAAGAGTATGATGATGTCAATACAATGGATCTGTCAAAAATTTCAATGCTGATCTAAAGTAAAAGATGTAGTATTTCATGACTTGTGAAATATAGTCACACACATTTGAGTTAAATTTGGACATCTGATCAATAACAGGATTAATTCACATTGTATTGGCAACAGCATACAAGCCAGCTATGTTCAGAATGGACAACAATAATTTTTGGCAGTCAGGGTCATATTGAGGACTCATTTTATTGAACATCTCATTGTTAGCTTATTACCTACCTGAATGCAGAGAGGACAAGGTCATATTGTGACAGTGCTAATGCTACAATATGAATGACCTTGAACTTTTAAGATCATATGGGTCAAATGCAAAAATTGTCTAAATTAATCATCAATGAGCAGGAGGACTAGGTGATGCTCACATGCTGTGATGAAGAACTACCAAGACACTCAAACAAAAACGACCAAGTTCCAAGATCACACGGATCAAAATTAATGTGTTTAAATTCAATTTTTCAATTTTTGTCAATTCAATTCTTTTATTTCGATACTTCACGGCCTCCGGCCCACAGTACATTTCATAAATCACATTTCTTCACACTCAACACTTCAACAATATTTTTTTTGATATATACAATTTGTTCAGTATATTTTATCATTCTACAATACATCGGTCTACACATATGTTAAGTATATAGTTGGCTACAATACATCGGTCTACACATATGTTAAGTATATAGTTGGCTACAATACATCGGTCTACACATATGTTAAGTATATAGTAGTTGGCTACAATACATCTACACATATGTTAAGTATATAGTTGGCTACACATATGTTAAGTATATAGTTGGCTACAATACACATCGTTAAGTCTACACATATGTTAAGTATATAGTTGGCTACAATACATCGGTCTACACATATGTTAAGTATATAGTTGGCTACAATACACATGTCTACACATATGTTAAGTATATAGTTGGCTACAATACATCGGTCTACACATATGTTAAGTATATAGTTGGCTACAATACACATGTCTACACATATGTTAAGTATATAGTTGGCTACAATACACATGTATATAGTTGGCTACAATACACATGTCTACACATATGTTAAGTATATAGTTGGCTACAATACATCGGTCTACACATATGTTAAGTATATAGTTGGCTACAATACATCGGTCTACACATATGTTAAGTATATAGTTGGCTACAATACACACATGTTAAGTATATAGTTGGCTACACATATGTTAAGTATATAGTTGGCTACAATACATCGTTAAGTCTACACATATGTTAAGTATATAGTTGGCTACAATACATCGGTCTACACATATGTTAAGTATATAGTTGGCTACAATACATCTACACATATGTTAAGTATATAGTTGGCTACAATACATCGGTCTACATATGTTAAGTATATAGTTGGCTACAATACATCGGTCTACACATATGTTAAGTATATAGTTGGCTACAATACATCGGTCTACACATATGTTAAGTATATAGTTGGCTACAATACATCGGTCTACACATATGTTAAGTATATAGTTGGCTACAATACACATGTCTACACATATGTTAAGTATATAGTTGGCTACAATACACATGTCTACACATATGTTAAGTATATAGTTGGCTACAATACACATCGTTAAGTATATAGTCTACACATATGTTAAGTATATAGTTGGCTACAATACATCGGTCTACACATATGTTAAGTATATAGTTGGCTACAATACACATGTCAACACATATGTTAAGTATATAGTTGGCTACAATACACATGTCTACACATATGTTAAGTATATAGTTGGCTACAATACATCGGTCTACACATATGTTAAGTATATAGTTGGCTACAATACACATGTCAACACATATGTTAAGTATATAGTTGGCTACAATACACATGTTAAGTATATAGTTGGCTACAATACACATGTCAACACATATGTTAAGTATATAGTTGGCTACAATACACATGTCAACACATATGTTAAGTATATAGTTGGTTACAACACATATGTTAAGTATATAGTTGGCTACAATACACATGTCAACACATATGTTAAGTATATAGTTGGCTACATTACACATGTCAACACATATGTTAAGTATATACTGGTATATATAAACTGTCAATGTATATATAGATACATCAGATATGAAGTAGAAGCAAAATAATGTGTTCACATAATTATACACACAGGTTAAATATTTATTCATAACTGCAGAATTTCATCTCTATATTTTAAGGCTTTATAAATGTACATAGCAACATTTTTCAGAATAACCTCGTCTGTGCTTTTGAATAGCCTTACTAAATGCATTGGATCTGGGTTTGAATGGCAGTACTGTGGCAAGTTAGCCTTTCTAAAGTCCGAAAGGACTGGGCATATAAGGAGGAAGTGCATCTCATCCTCCACAGCTTTCCTATTACAAATATTACACAATCTTGAGTCCCTTGCTATGCCAAGTTTACGCCCCTCGTTCAATTTCCAGAGCATGAGTAGAACATCTGAAGTTGGCTAGAACAAATCTGAGATGGATTGGCAAGTTAATCAGTAGATATCTTTCACATACCAGATCATCCGTAATACTACTATAAAATTTACATTTGCCAGGTTTACTTAACTGTGAGTTCCATTCTTGGATATTTACGTCTCTCATTCTCTGTTTAAGTGAAAGTAAAAAAATATTTGAATCACCAACCCCCTGATTAAGCCATACATAGCCAAATCCTAGCATATTTAGCATTTCACGCACTTTGGTGCACCAGTTCTTTCTTCCATTAGCATCTTGCACCAGTAACATTTTATAACAGAGTTTTGGTAACCTGTTGTCCTCCATACTGAATAATTTCATCAGATATTTGGCCGGTTTACACATATATGATGTATATAGTTCTAATCTGCCACACTCACCTCTTACCATACAGTTTGTTGCTTTCACACCAGTACATAATAGCCATTTACAAAAGTTGTTCTGTACACTTTCAATGTCAGCATTTGGAGAAGTTCCCCAGATTTCTGCACCATAGAATAAGATTGGCGAGATCATAGCATCGAACAGTTTGAAACCTATTTTAACATCTCTTTTGCCTATTTTACACAAACAATGCTTTAACATGTTTAACGCTTTAGTTGCTTGTAGGGCAAGTGATTTGCAGCAGTATGACCAACTCAACTTCGATGAGAAAAATACTCCTAGATATTTATAGAAGGTGACAACTTTAAGTTCTGCTCCTTTA